GTCACAGTGCTACTGCATTGGTAAAGTGAGGCAACCACAATTAAGGTGGGGTAATGATTATAGAGCATAATTCAAAACCAATGCATAAAAATGACAGATTTTGAATAAAATGAATATTTAATATTTGATCAAATTTAAAATAAGTAACTCTTGCTTCAGCCAATTTCATAACTTAATACACTATAAAATGCTTACAAAACTTCTGATTTGCTGATTAAATTATATAAAATACAATTTAGGTTGTAAGTAGTGATGCAAGCCTCTAACCCCAGCAACTTGGGAGGCTGAGGATTGCAAGTTCAAGATCAGCCTTGGTAATTTAGCAATGTCTTAGGGAGACCCTGTTTCAAAATAAAAAATTAAAAGGGATGGGGATGTGGCTCAGAGGTTAAGCACCTCTGGGTTCAATTACCAGTACCACCTCCTCAAGTACAATTTAAAAGCTCTTTTTAATTCTTTAGCACCAGTGGACACTAATGATAACATCATTCTGAACCTAGATTTGCATCAACCTTAAGTTTAATTGATAGAGATCAGTTTGATAGGGGAAGAAAAAAAGAGCACTTTCTGGGTGGAAACTATCTCCCAGAAAACCCTAAATTGGTGAATAATACTCAACCACATCAGTATCATATTTAGAGAAATAGGAAGGTATGGAGGAAGTGTTTTAAGTTTCCTCCAGACCCCAAGCAAAAATGCCAGCAATTGAAAGCATCCTAAAAAAACTTAGTAGAAAGAACTTCACATTTTAACAAAATTAATAATGACTTGTGTTCATAAATGTCCATCTAGTCCAGAATATAAGTACAATCTTGTATATAAGAGGGAAATAAAGTGAGACTTTAAAAGATCCCACTAAAACAATCATCAATAACATGGTGCAGTTACAGTACTGATCATCATAGTTATTCATAGCTGTTACAGTACAACTACACAGATATAGGTCATTGTTACACAACTTTATTAGGAATTCAGTACCGTCAAAACATTTCTATAAGAGGTCAATATAATAATCTTTTATCGATCTAGGAATTCTGGCACTGAAAGTGTGAATAACCCAAAGTAATGATGTCGTCACCAAGGGACAAGAATAGAACCCAAATCCCTTGACTCCCAAGCTGTGTTTTCCACTAATTGTGCTCCTTTCTACTCATCTGACAGCATCAAGTATAAAGGGTTAGGGAAAGGAGTGGACACAAATGAGCCAAATCTGTGAGGTGGAGACTGCACTGGAAGTCCTAAAGAATCGCCATTTGACACTTTCCTTTTGTTTTGGCTGAGCAAGATGAAAGCAGCAACCACAAACCCCTGGGACCAAGAACTGGAACTAGGTACTGCCTGTTGTGGTTTAACTCTCTCTTTCTCCAGTGAGGCCTTTCCTCTTTAACCTCTCTTCCGGCCAAGCCCTAGTGCTCTCTTCACCCCCCTGGTCTTGATCCTCTCTTCTTCAGTCTCACTCTGCACGTTACGGCTAGGTGTCCCTGTAAGGGTTGGCAAGGGCGCCTCGCTCGTCCTTCAAGCGTCCGGAGGGTTCGAAGCGCCGCGGGAGTTTCCCTAGATAATGAATGGTAGTCAAGCACTGTAAACGTGTTTCAACTGTTAGAGGAACTTCGGAGGTGGGAACCGGGGAACTGTCTGCTCTGCGTGGGTCTAGGCAGCCCGTCAGGACAAAGCGAAATTTAGACTATAAGCACAGAGCTTCCCTCTAGCCGGGAGCTTCCCCCAGCTCAGCGATTCCCTGGGCAACCTCCCACTGGAGGACGCCTGCAGGAGCGCGCTGTTTACACCTTCCCTAGACCAGGAGGAGGAAAGCAGCTTCGCGGACCCGGGGGGATTCCAAACCGTTACTCCGCCCGCTGGGGTGGGGCCATCCCAACGGCCGAGCATGCGCGCTAAGCCAGCCGGCTCCAGGACACTACAAGTCCCACAAGGCAACGCTCCGCGTGGGCGGGCGTCTGCCTTAGCCGCCCCAAGCTTATTCCTCTAGCTACTACCGCTCTCCGGCAGCCGCCGCCCCCCAACCCCCTGGCCCCATCTAGTCCCTTCCCACGCTAAAGGCTACTTCCTCTTGAGGCAAACGGGAAGCCTTAACAATATCAATACCGAAGCTACTGGCTCCGCTTGCCTCTGCCTGGACTATGCCTGACTCCCTCATCAGAGAAGGGTGGTGGAGACGCGAGAAGGGAGCTCTCGCAGGGCAAAGTGGGGCAAACCGGCCACACTTCCGTCTTCTGGGCTCCGGAAGGTAGCGCGCACGCGCTCGTTGCGACTTCGGTTCGGTTGACTTCCGCTCCCACTGTGCCCTGCGAGCCGAATCATGGATCACACTGGTAAGGAGGCGGAGGCAGTGGGGGTCCCAGTTTCATGCCCCCTTGGCTAGTCTGGGACTGGTCGTCCAGCGGGCAAAAGGGGTTACGCTTGCCCCACAGCACTGGGGTGTGGCGGTGAGGAAGAAATCTCATAGACCCTCTTCCCGTGCCCCGCAGGGCCTGCTGCTTCTCGGCCTACCCTCCGGTGCGGTACCTCCATCCTCGGTGCCGGCAACAACCGCTTCTGTGTCTGGTTTTGCTGAGCTCCCAGCTGGGACAGTGGGTGGCGTAGGCTTCCTGGCAAGGGGAGAGCGCCGTATCTTTTATTTATTTAAACTCAACCCAGTTGCTCTGCCCTAGGTTATGGGGTACTGGTGGGTGGATACCAGCGGTGATTGAAGTCTCCTTGCTCTGGTAGTTAGTTGAAGACTTCCTGCTCTCAGCTTTAGGCGGGTGCTGCAGTTATTTCTTGTTTGTCTCTTCAGTCCATCATGGACTAGAGGTTACAGGAGGGAGTCGGATATAGTTTTCCAATTCATAAACAGAGCAGCTAGAAATTTCCACCTAAGCCCAAAGCATGCCTACGCTTCGGCTATGGTCTTTTCTCATCATCAGTTGAGGCCACTTATATAGGAACACAAAAGATCAAGACATTCTCATCCCTTTCGCCGAGGGTAGCTCCACCTCTTGTTAGGTGTTATGTGCTTCGCTTTCTTGTGGTTCTTGGATGTTGAATGAGGCACTTGAAGTTAGTAAGTGCTTCAGTTACATCGATCATAGCACACGTAGGGGGAATAGACTTTTTCTTAAGCATTGATCTGAATGTTCTCAATCATCAGCTACATATTTATTGAGTGTGTGTACATACATGTTTATTTATGCCGGATATGTCTAGATACTTGCAGGCCTGAAGATGGAATGATGGAAGGGTTAACAATAGAACTGGGTTCTTTTCCTCGTGGACATTACATACTGCTGGGGAAGACAGACAGTCACACACATTCTCATTCTCCCCGCCCCCATATATATATATATATAAAACTCGTTTACAGATTGTTACAGATTGTGGTGAATGCCTTCAAGGAAAACAAATGCTGTGGAGTAGGAAGTTTCAGAGAGAATGGGCAGGGAAGGTCTTCTGGGAAAGGTTAGTAGTTGAGACTCATGTATAAGAAGAATCTAGCCATGAAATAAAACAGAAGAAACATTTTCAGCAAGTTCAAAGACTCCAGGATAGGAAAATGGAGAGAATGCCAGTTGGTTGTGGCCTAGTTGGCAAGGGGAAAAGAGCCCTAAGTTGAGGTTGCAGAGAAGTCTAAGTCACCACCTTCAGGACTTTGAAAGGTACATTAAAGAGTTTAATTTTAGTTTGAGTGAATATGAAGTCTCTGAATAGAAGTAAAAGAAGGAACATAGTCTTAAATATATAATGGATTGTTTTGTGGAAGTCAAGAATAATAGAAAATAGACAATTTAGGAGGTCATTGTAGTAGACCAGAAGGGAGGCTTGGTTTAGTGAAAATGAAGTGATAGAGTACTTGCCTAACATGCAGTTTACAAGGCTCTGGTTTGAATCCCCTGCACCACCACCACAACAAAAGGTGGAGAGAGGTGGGATGAGGGGCGAGAAAGGGCAGAGGCAGTAAATGTTTTGGTGGTAGAGCTCAAGCACCTTCTAATGAATTGATTTGGGGGTATGGGAGAGAAATGCCTGGGCTTCTGGTTTCACTGGAAGTTAGGAATTTGGGAACAAGAATTTGATTTTGGACTGCTGGGTATGGGATGTATATTGATATAGGATGGGTGGTACCAAATGGAGCTCAGAGGAAAGCTATGAACCAAAAATAATATATATATTTGGGAGTTAATACCTTATAGTTGATCTCTTTAAAGCATGAGCATGGGAGAGATCATTTAGTGAGAGGCATTTAGAAAAAAAGAGGGCCTAGAACCAGGCTTTAAGGAATTCCAGAGTTTGGAAAATATATAGAGTTGAAACTCTGGAGTCTTGAGGGTAGGGTAACAAATGTGGAATTTTAGTTTCTCCTTTATCCTGTTATCGGAACTGGGAGTGAAGTCCCTTTTACAGTTTAGAAGTTGTTATATTAGGAAATCTGAAAATGGATGGGTGTGTAAAAGGCTTTATTATCCTAATTTTAAACTTTTAAGTTAAAAGTTTGCATGGGAAATAAAAGTTAATTTCTTTGTGAGACCTTCTCCTTAATGTTTCATATCAGAAGACAGTACCAGTTGCTATACACTGATTGTGAGGAAGAAACTTTTGTGAAAGTTTCAGATATCAAAGTTCATAAACATGAATTTGATGACAATCACAAATAAGCCATTGACAAATGAGGAAATGCTGTTAGCTAGTTAATTGAAGACATCAAGACAGAATAGGCATCTTGAGAATGATTTTAATATCAAAGGGTCTCTTTGGAAAAATTAGTGCAAAAATGACCCATTGTATATATGGTCATGTGTAAAATTGAAATGTAAAATGAAGTGTTTTAAGGAGAAAAAAATTTTCCATGAAACAGTTAACACTTGATTCATTCTTTGGTCACTCATATGCATTGTTGAATTAGCACCTTTGTAAAGTAACCTAAATTTTGTAAAATATTTCTTTGTTCCTTTTATTCAAGATAAAAATCCTAAACCTTTTTAAGCTACATAATAGCTTGTAAAGGTGTTTCTTGTAAGGTGAATTCACCATAAATGGCCAGTTATCCTTAGTTTTTTCTTTGAGTAATATCCAAGGACTTTGTTACTATGGACAGTATGTTTAGTTATTATATTCAAAAGGAAATTGTATTGTATGTTTTGATCCTTAATTTTAAAAAGACACAAACCAAAAAAAAGTTCCTCAAACAATCCCAGATTGTTGTCACTGTGAAGTGTTCTACTTTATAACTTGAAACTTGTGAAGCAAACAGCAAAGTTTTAAGGGGCAGCAGGCTCTTGCACATGGCAAGCTGGCTATGTGATCAACAACAAGAGACCTCACGTGTTCAGGGTGGTGTGAAAAGAACTTGTAATGAAGTGTTAGTATTTTTATTCACAAAGGTAAAACCCTTAAGAATACTTTTGATAGCTGAAGGACAATATTAGCTCTTTTTTAATAATTGTAAAGTCAGGAATACTTTTTAAGAAAAATGTTATTTAGAAATATCTGCCTTTTGGCTGTTGCATTGCTTTATTTATTGACATAAATAAGCAAATGCATTGAAAATGAATGAAATACATTAATCAGCTTGTTAGTTCATTTAGTGAAATGTTGAAAATTGATAAAGTTGGAAAAGTTGAATTTATTCTAATTTAAGAGTTTAGCTAATCATGTAATCCCTTTTTCATATCCTCCTACAAAATTACCTGTTAAAAAAGTAGAAAGCAGACTGAAAAAATTCAAAATAATCATTCAGGACCTATTTTAACACAAAAAGTGTACATGTAATACAGCCTTGGAGGTCATTGGTACTGTTACTACTTTTGTCTTTACTCATAATTAGTATGGACAGTTTATTTGTTTTGATTGTAATATTGTTTGCAGGGGCAGTTATACAACTTTGTTCAATAACTTATGTTTAAAACATAATTTAAAATTTTTGTTTCTTTGTATTTCTCATTTTAGAGCATTTTCCTTTTTGACTCTAGGTAAAGTTGATTATTTTCTGTGTTATATCTTTTCATTTACTTGAACAAAGGTAACTCTTTAAGCTCTACATGAGTTGGTTCTATGAAATAATAATGGAACATAAGTTAATTTGTTTCATAGATGATAACAAGCAGAGGTGTCATTTGTTTAGACTTAGATTGAGTTAGAAACCTTGCATCCTCCTAGATTATAATTTTCCAATACAGTGCTAAGAATAACTCAGTGTATCTGTAGAAATGTTGTACAAATTATTGCATGTTTCTGTTATTATAGGGTATAATAAATTTTTACTTTATCGTTCAACCCTTTTTAGAAGAACCATTTTAGGCTGAAGGAAATAATCTCTTTAAAACTGACTTCATTTTCAGATGCATTATTTAATTTTGCCTTCATCAGGGTTAGGTTTTTTTTTTTTTTTTTCAGTTTTATTGGTTACCCTAATGTAAACTTAGCAACTTTATTGACTGTCTACGTGGCAAGCTTGACAGGAGATAGGGATGGTTTTGTTTCTTTTCCTTTTTCATTTTTTTTTAAATTCTCATAGTTACTTTTAAAAAAAATATTTAATTTGTTTTACATAACAGCAGAATGCATTCGAATTCATAGTGCACATAGAGCACAATTTTCATATCTCTGGTTGTACACAAAGTAGAGTCACACCATTTGTGTCTTCATACATGTACTTAGGGTAATAATGTCCATCTCATTCCATCATCTTTCCTACCCCCAGTCCCCCTCCCTTTCCTTCCCTCCTTTTGTCCTAATCAAAGTTCCTCTATTCCTTCCATGCTCTCCCCACCCCCATTATGGATCAGCATCCACATAGCAGAGAAAACATTTGACATGGTATTCTCCAACCTCATCCATTTAGCAGCAAATGACATGACTTTATTCTCTCTTAATGCTGAGTAATATTCCATTGTGTATATATACCACAGTTTATTTATCCATCTATTGAAGGGCATCTAAGTTGGTTCCACAATTTAGCTTTTGTGAATTGTGCTGCTATAAACATTGGTGTGGTTGTGTCACTATAGTATGCTGTTTTTAAGTCCTTTGGGTATAAACCAAGGAATGGGATGGGATAGCTGGGTCAATTGGTAGTTCCATTCCAAGTTTTCTAAGGAGTCTCCATACTGCTTTTCAGATTGGTTGGACCAATTTGCAATCCCACCAGTAATGTATGAGTATGCCTTTTTTTCCACATCCTTGTCAACATTTATTGTTGTTTAAATTCTTAATAGGTGCCATTCTGACTGGAGTTA